AAAATTCTAACACCAAAAAAAAAAAAAAAAAAAGGAATAAAAATGAAACAAAAAATGTAATTACTAAAACTAAAAGTCAAAACCCACAACAAAATTACTATAACTAAATTAGTACAAAAAAGTAAAAATAAATAAAATAATATAGTGAAATCTAATTCAAAATATAAACAAACTTCATAGTCTAACAATAATACTAAAATAACATTGTTCTGAGATTGCACTTTTTACTGTGCTTTTACTTGCAGAATTTTGTATATTTGCACATCTGAGCAGTTTGAGATCTTAAAATCTCTTTCAAACTGAGATTACTGGTCTCTTTCTCATTAGAAACATCGGAGAAGTTTCAGGCTTAAAAAAAAAAAAAAAAAAAAAAAAGTCTCAATATTATCGTTTTTTCTGTATTTTTTATCAAATAAATGAAGTATAACAAACATATTTCAAAAACATAAAAAAATTATTATTCCAAATTTTTGACCAGTAGTGTATACAAATACTGCTGAAAATTAGCAGTAGTTTTTTTTTTACAGTCTGTTATGGGTTGAAAGCATGGCAACATACGGTTTACACCAACTACTCTGTTTTGACAGGCTTTGAAAGAGGTGTGTGTGGAAAAACATAATTACTCCATAGCCTGTAATTACTGGATGTGTCTTGCTGGCAGCAACATAAAGAACTCCTTCACATCTGATCACATCTGTTCTTTTCTCTCCGTGAAGCCAAATTGCTATTGAGTACCTGGGTCTGAAAACCTTCAAAACCCACTTGTTATAAACTCCAGTCTGCCAAGAACATCAAAACATTACCTATCTTTGTAAAGACCACCATATTTACCAAAAAGGTCCTGTTTGTCTAATTGCCTTTTGTCTCTCGTTAGTATTTCCAGCGATTTCCATGTGAAGGAAGCAGAATAGGGCCTGAAACGGAAGATGAAGTCATGTTTAAATAAATGGTCAGCAAAGAAGTTGCCTAACCTTCTGAAAATGCTGATTGTAAACCTAAGGAGGTCAAACTAAATATTATATGAGCTTTTTTATTTATTATCAATTTTGCATGAGGTTTGCAGTTTTGCAACTCTGTTGGTTGCTAAAACTTTCTAAATACATCTTAAACCCTGATTTGTGTGATGTTATTATTTTGGCAATAATTATTAAATAAGCAAAAACTAAATAGACAACATTTATAGAAAAATGTAAGAAGTATATACACCCCTACAGTTTGGAATAATTAAGATTTTTTTATGTTTTGGAAATGCAGGGCTGCATTTATTTGATTAAAAATACATTACAAAACAGTAATATTGTGTATATTATTAAAATGTAAAGTAAATTATTTTCTATTTGAATATACAATACTTGTTAAAAGTTTGGAAACGTTACAGTTTTTAAATGTTTTTAATGAAGTCTCTTCTGCAATAAGGCTGCATTTATGTGCTAAAAAAATACAGTAAAAAGAGTAATATTTTGAAATAGTGTTGCTATTTAAAATAACTGTTTTCTATTGTAATACATTTTAAAATGAAATGTATTTCTGTGATGGCAAAGCTGAATTTTCAGCATCATTACTCCAGTCCTCAGTGTCACATGATCCTTCAGAAATCATTCTAATATACTGATTTGCAGATCAATTATTGTAAATTGCTATCAAATATTAACAGTGATTCTTCTTATTATCGGTTTTGAAAACATATTATTTTTCAGAATTCTTTGAAGAGTAGAAAGATCAAATAAACAGCATTTGTTAAAGAATATTTGAGATTATAAATGTATTTACTTTTGATTCCCTTTTGATCAATTTAATGCATCATTGCTAAATAAATATATTATTTGTATTTTACATTTAAATGTATATCCAAAAATATTAAGCAGAAATTTTTTTTTTCAGTACTAATAGTATCATATATTTGAATTATTGAAAAATGATTGATATTTTTTCTTAAAGTCACTTGAATAACAGGTCTGAATATTTAAGCATTATAAAATGGAATTAGATTATTTAACTGAATTTGCATTCAACAGATTTTTTAAAATACTGATTATGAAAAAAAACTCTGAGACCTCTAAGGTGGGACATCAACATTGTAAGCTGATGTGTTTAAAACTAGTTATTTTGCATGCTTGATTAATTTTAGTAATACTTTAACACAATCTTACATGGGATTTGTGTTTTAGAAATTAAAAGGACATCAATTTGTACCCAATTCTTGGAAATGCCTCCACACATTAACATTTGTGCTCCTTTGTTTCATCTGTCCCTGCAGGTGCAAAAACATGTCTTACCCGTCCAACCTTCCGCAGGTTAGTATAGTCTTTATCTTTGTGAACGAGGCGCTCTCAGTCATTGTGCGCTCCATCCATTCGGCCATGAACAGAACCCCGCGCCACCTGCTCAAAGAGATCATACTGGTAGATGACAACAGCAATAACGGTAGGTTTACACACAGCACAAAACGCTTAACATGTTTGTCAATTGTGTAATGTTTGTCTCACAAGGTCTAAGTAGAGAGTGCCATTAATGTGAAGCATTGGCCTAACTATTTCCTGTGAGACTGGAACAAAGCAGCGGCAACCTCATGCATTTCTTTTTAGTGCTCTCTTGTGTTGGACTAGCTAGTTCTCAGTGTGAGGCTTATAGTCTTAATAATTACCGCTGTTTGGCTTCTCAACATTCTGTCTTCAATCTAACCCTTCCGTCTGCTTAATTAGCCGCTCTGCTCATTGGATTAAAGTGACTAGTGATAGAATACTAATCAGCTGCAAACTGAGAAATATTTAGAAAGATTAAACCTAAGAAACGTGATGAATTACTCTGTTTCTCCAACATCATGCACCTCATGTTCTGGACTATTGTTGCATGTAGCGGGTTTGTCTGCTGGCCTTTTTGCTCATTATTACTTTAATTTCCACCAATTTGGTGCTGCAGTAAGAGCGTTAATTGACAGGCTGATGAATATAGCTCCCGTTATATTTAACATTAATCAAAAAATAATAATACAATGAAAGGTCGGGCTGGTAAGCTATACTGCATTTTGGCTATTTTGTGATTATTGCATTCATTATCAAATTGTCAACATTGAAAAAAACACCTTTTTTGTGGTTTCATTTTTTTTCTGAATTATTATGTGTTAATATTGTGTGAAACAAGTGTTAATTTAATTTTAGTATTACATACATGTAACTTCCCGATTTATTAGTACATTTATTATTATATTACATTTAATATTTTTAAATTATATTGACCTTATCTTCTAGAAAATTCTGCCATAATTTACTCAAGTTTTTCCAAATCTTTTTTTTTTTTTTTGCTGTCGAACACAAAGAAGATATTGTAAAGAATGTTGGTAACCAAACAGTTGCCGGTAATCATTGACTTCCATAGTTTTTTTTATTTATTTTTCTTATATATATATATATATATATAGATTATGGAAGTAATACTTTTAATGTGCACATACAATTAAGCACACTTCTTTTTCACTAGCTTTCACAGGATACCAACAATTACAATGATTAACATAGATAAATCCACCTAAACATTTCATCTTGAAAAATACAACAAAACCCTTAGCTTCACAGAATCATCTGCAAAGATGTTAAAACAGCTGTACAGAAATGTCATGGTTGTGCAGATAAATGCTACTGAGTCACGCTAAACTTTTGTCATTATGGTTAGAATTGGTAGTCTTATCAACGCTAGCTGTTGTCACCCCTACGGCTCTATGGAAGCTGCCAGGTCCTTTCAATTGTGATTATTATTTCTCGACATCTCTCCCTAATGTGAGAGCCACTTCTGGGTTCAACTTACACTCTATTCTACTGCGGTAGACACCATGACCGACATGAAGAGAAAGAGGGTAAAGTGACCCAGATGATTCCTCACTAATTGTACCATTTTGAGGACCAGCGGCCTGCTCTCTCAGCTGGCATAATCTTGTGAGTCCTGACAGCTTTATCTTTACATTCATAGATGAAGGTTGTGAAGCGGCCACTCAACATGAGACTTTATGTCAACAGTGGGACCGACAGAGAATCTGTCAACCTTCAGTGAAGGCCAAAGAAAATTAAATCCCGCTCTCCTCAAAACCCGAGAATGAGCTGACAAAAATTCTTTGCCTCTGCAGTGGACAAATGATGAATAACCACCTTATCATCAGAGAGAGAGAGAGAGATGACTTACACTGCAAAAAATAATTTCCTTGCTTAGCATTTTAGTCATAATATCTAAACATTTTTCAAAATAAATTTACTTGAGAAGAAAAATGCTTAATTTAGACTTACTTTCAGAAAATATATCTTCAGTTAAGTTAAATCACCAAAAAAAAGCCTTAAATGCAGAATTGCATGCAATAATAAGACTTCTTTTCAGATAATAAATACTGAACAGTTGCTGAAAATTATTCACCCTCAGGCCATCCAAGATATAGATGAGTTCCCTTTCGTGGAACTTCGAACTGCGTCCTCTAGGGGTCGCTATGGGGAACGCCTCGTCGTGACCCGTGTCTGAAGCCTACATTGAAAAAACACCAACTTGTTTGGCCGGCGACAGCCATGACGTCACTACCGTCGCGAGCTAACCACCGCACCGCACACACACTCTGCTCCGGTCCAGAGACACGATAGCACGGAGCGGATCACATGCGCGAGTCGGCGCAGACCACAAAATGTATCGGAGCTATTTGAATTCTACACAGCATGCTATATTTTATAGCAATATGGATGAGATTGTGGCTGGCATACCCTGCGGCTTTACGGAGCTCAACGGCTCTGAACGGCTCTAGCCCAAGCTGTGATATAAACGAACGCTATTGGCTATTTTAAAAAGGGGCGGGGCTGCTTGATATGTCCCGCCCTGTCTTCCTGTTTCAGTTAAATGACGTCAACACATAGAGTAACGCTGCGTGTTTCTAAGCATTTCAGGGGACCTTTAAGCATTACATCATTTGCTCACCAGTTAATCCTCTGCAGTGAATGGGTGCCGTCAGAATCAGAGTTTAAACATGGAGCCAAAGGAACTGCCACAGTACTTTCTGTAGGGCTGTCTTGGCTTGCCATCGTTAGTTTTGAGCTGTTAGAAGGAGTGATGAATTGATTTCATGAATGTTGTATTATATTGGTTGAGAGCTTCACGTTCAGTTCAATACAGCTTAGCTATCCCAGCTAACTGGAGTCCATATTGACGTACACAAAGATTTAATTATTCTCTTTCTATGGCCAGGGGCAATAAGGACACCTTCCAGCAGGTAAACCAGGTTTCCTCACAGAATCTGAGAAAAGATTGACGTTTTTATGTTCTTAACACACTTATTCCCTGTTAAATGCACTTTGTAATGTCAAAATGTAAAAAGTTTTACTTTAAAGTATATTTTAAAAGAAGTACACTTATTTAATGTGTTGGCTGACATACTAAAGCAAGTTTAGATTTTTTACTTCATCATTACAAATGTATAAAATATAAAATACCAATAAAATTTCAATACATGGCATACTCGTTTCAACAAAAAGTTTACCATAAATGCTTGTCAGTACATTCAGCAGTACACTTGAAACATATTTTAAAGGGGTCATGTGATGCTGCTAAAAATAACATTATTTTGTGTATTCGGTGTAATGAAATGTGTTTATGCGGTTTAAAGTTAAAAAAACACATTATTTTCCACATACTGTACATTATTGTTTCTCAGCGAGAATAAAAGTTACGGCTTCTTTCTTTGCGTGAACATTTGGGCGGTGTTATGCAAATCTTCCCACATAGTGTGGTAGATATGTGGGGGCGTGTTCGAACGAGCCGTTTTAGGTAGGCGTGGCTGACTCTTAACTTTTATAAAGAATATCTCTTTGGATTTGAGACTTTAGTCTTTGCAAATTTATAGATCTTCTTTATGCACCAAGAGCTTGTAACACTCCAAAGAGAAAGGAAAAAATGAAATCGCATCATATGACCCCTTTAAAGACAATAAAAGTAATTATGAAATTAGATGTAAAGATGTACTTAAGCCCAGAGTGAGTAAAACACTCACTAAAATGTAGCTAATTACATTTAATATTCATTTAAACTATAATACACATTTATTTAATTGCGGTTAGCATGCATTTAAGTGTCTGTAAACATGACACTCGGTTCACACTTAAAATATTCTTTTAAAGTATATTGTTTCAATAATAAGTGCTCTTTTTTAAAAGTATGCTAAAGTGTACTTCGTTTTTACAAGGGAATAGATAGATCCTGCAAAATATGGATGCTAGTTTAAGTCAGTTTAACATCAAGAACTTAATTAAAATGTCTCAAAAGCTTTGACACCCAGTAAGATTGCTTAGAGACCTTCAGCATAATATTATCATATTATAATAGCTAGCAGTGGTAGGATCAGTCAAGCTTAATGTTTTGTATTGACTGAAACAAGAAGTGCACTTGAGATAATGGTGATGAAAGATTGATGCTTTCAGTCATGAGCAGCTCTGAGATAATGGACCTGCTATCCTTCATTTTATTATGATAGGATCTTCACCAGTTCTTCCAATCAATTGCTATTTGTTCATATATGTTAATCAGTCATAATATTCATTTAAACCATAATACACATTTATTTAATTGCGGTTAGCATGCAGTTAAGTGTCTGTAATGGATGCTAGTTTAAGTCAGTTTAACATCAAGAACTTAATTAAAATGTCTCAAAAGCTTTGACACCCAGTAAGATTGCTTAGAGACCTTCAGCATAATATTATCATATTATAATAGCTAGCAGTGGTAGGATCAGTCAAGCTTAATGTTTTGTATTGACTGAAACAAGAAGTGCACTTGAGATAATGGTGATGAAAGATTGATGCTTTCAGTCATGAGCAGCTCTGAGATAATGGACCTGCTATCCTTCATTTTATTATGATAGGATCTTCACCAGTTCTTCCAATCAATTGCTATTTGTTCATATATGTTAATCAGTCATTTTCGACGGAGATGAAAGTTCTGCTCTAATAAGCTTTGAAGAAAGTTTTTGGTGAGGTTGAGGATAGAGAGATTTTCGCTGTCAAATAAAATCAGAAGACAGATTTCATTTAGTGTCTCCCGGTTCAATCATAAAACTCATATTTGCAGGTGGGGGTAAAGCATTAGAGCAATTTGTAGAGCCACAAGCTGTTCATATCCAATGTTCTCTGGCTTTTGAAAGAGACATTCTCTTCACGTTCACTCGTGCAATTCCACAATCTCAGTGATCGATGAGAGACGCCGTTCGCTCAAGGATAAACTCTATAGGCACGAGCCTGGCTGAGCACAACATCCCACTCAAGGGCAAGGAGAATTACATTGTGGCTATAAGAAAAGTGACCTTTAGCTTCTGTCATACCTGTGGCCAGTGTCAGGATCTTTAAGGGCAAGGAAATAGAGCAAAACAACTGTCGGATAACAATCGCTGTGATTGGCCGATATTACAAGTGCCCACACTGGAAACATTCTGTACGAAGAATATTCTTACATACCATCATCTCTTTCTATCAGAGATTTCATTCGTTCACATACACTGAATTTTTTGTAAATGAAATATTATTGTTGTATGTTTTACAAGACAAAACAATTTCAAACTTTTAGCGGAATGTGGAAACACTCTATTATTCAATGGTGTGTTGTAGCTTACTTGTGTGCTTTCTGCTGTCTGTTTTTTTTTTTTTTCTAATCATTGTTATTATTCTTATTCTTATTCTTATTATGCAAATTCACCTCTGTGAAACCTAGTTTCAAAATGTTGCTTTTTTAAATGAAAATACATCCAAGTGTTAATCAAAAAAAAAAAAAAAAAA